CAAGGCAGCTTCAAAGTGCACTGGGAAGGATGATCATGACTTCCTTTGTTTGGGAACATGATGCCCTCTTCTTCAACTATTATACTGTTGGCCAAGCAACCAGTCAGCCACACATTCAGCAATATACTATCACTGCTGGAGTCACAGGGTACAACAAAGGGGAAGAAAAGAGATCTCATGACCTGCAAAAAAAAAAAAAAAAAATCCAGGAAGGGAAACCTTCCATGTACACAGAAGTGAAGACACTTCATGGAAAAGGGGAGAGGTGGGCTAAAGCCCATTATTTGAATTGGTTGCTCAGACTCCTAATGAGCTCAAAAAAGGGGCCTGCAGCTTGGAGGGGCAAAAATGAGGAAGCTGTTTTCAGTCAGGTAATTTTCAAAGGTATACAGAAGCATGTCTCTGTGTATTGCTCTCAACATATGACATGTAATTGAATGGAAGCACTGATCACTTGAACTGTTCCTCAGAAATCATGATGTTAGTAGCAAGAGGCCTGCCCCCGCCCCACCCCCCCAGTACGTAGCTGTCTCCAGGACAGGATGCACAAGGGGAAATCTGCTTTACCAATTTACACTGAAAATGATTCCACACCCATCTCAACAAATATGTGACATTAAACTCCAACATTCTGAACTATGCCTGTCTTTGCTTTAAAATTCAGCATCTTGTTTGATTTAGTCTCTTACTGAGAAAACAAACAAACAAAAAACCAATTAATTTTTTCTGAATAAGTTTAGGCTGCACAAATCTCACCATCAAGAAAACCTGAGGGATCTTCTGAATAGTAATTAGGCAAATTCAATTTCTACTGAGTAGCTAGCAAGTGTTATTGAAAGATATACACTCAACCATTCGCATATCTGATGAAAAAGAAATTGTAGTGCAGTCTTCCTCAATATTATTGCTTTCTGTATGTGGTAGGATTACAGGACATAGTGACGCTGTCAGGGACCAGTGTGTTTAGGCTGAGAATTCTGGGAACGGTGGTTAGAAAACATCTGGAGGCCATCCAGGTTGTAGAATATTTCGATTACAGAAAGATTGAAAGGCATGATTTTTTACATTTCATCCTTCAGTAATGAAGTATTCTGATAAAGTCCATTTTTGATTCAGCACATTCGCAAGTTGTCATAAAGAAGACAGAGTATTCACAGTGATTCTGAACATTATTCAGAAATAAATCTTGCCATTTATTTCTGAATACTAAATGGCATGATTTATTTCCTGGTAAGCACAGATCAAACTGCAGGCTATATTGTTCATGTTATGACATAATATTAAAACCTTAGAAAATATATCTGAAAAGGCATATGGGTGTTTGCATAAGGATTATGACCAGCATTTGTTAAATGACTGTAATATTTCAAAATGAAGATGAAAGAAAATTGTGTTCAGCATTTCAGAATGAAGAATAACAAATAGCACCTGCAACAAAAATGCACAATCCATTGCAGGGCTCAAATCTATTTAATTTCATTATTTCCCCACCCCAGTTTTCCAGTTTTTCTCCTCTTTACCAAAAGTCATTCATTTTCCATAGTCAATGAGTAGGTTGAGTCCTCACTAGTAAGGCTGTCACATCAAATTTTTTTTGCATTTCTCCAAATGCTGGATTTTCCTGTTGCCTGCTGCCATTGCTCTTGGGTATCAATTTTGCTGTTTTGTAACAGAAACGACAATTACACCCACATCTTCAAAAATGGAAGGAATTATATATGATATATTTCACTTCCCTTGAACGATAACAACAAAATTAAAGCTTTTTGAAAGTGTCTGAACCTGAATTTATTGTTCTATTTCCCTACTGCCTGCACCAAGGTATTTTACAGTTGTTAAAAAACCAACAAAAAACAGTGGATGCAGAACTTAAAAAGTTAAGAAATGATATAGTGGAAGAAGGACAAGTAAGACAAAAGAACAAGGTGAAATGTATGAGAAGAAAGGAGTGTATAGAAAACAATACATTTAAACGGGTTGAAAAATAAGAAGGAACAAATGAATGAATGATTTAAAGGTGAGAGAGATAGAAATGTAAACACTAAATGGAATGAGCAAAAGCCAAGGAAATCCTTAAAAGTAAAGAACATCATGATCAAAATGACAAGAACAGAAAGTATGATATGGAGAAACATTTATGACAGAAGCATGAGTGTGTATATGGTGTCAAGGAAAGTTAATGAGAAACGCATTTCAGAAAAGCTAAAAATAAGAATAGGGTTAAGAATGACCAAGCATTTTAAAATTAAAGACAGGAAGAAATAGAAACAGACATATCAGGAAAAAGAGTGCATACATGTTTAGCATGAGCACAAGTATGAGAAGAGAAAGTTAAAGTTGAATCATAGATATTAACTAGATATTGGGAAAATGACAATGATTTTGGCACACAAAAAATAAAATCAAATTGGCAAATTCCAGCAATCTTATTCTTGAGCAATCTCATGTCATGCTTTCTGAGCTAATTCTTATGAGAACACCAACATTTCACAGGATTTACTACTTTTATAAGATTCGAGCCATTTTTTTTTCTGTTTAAAAAATCTTGCAATGTTGGGATTGTGCAAATGCCATTTCAAGGTGGTATAGTGCCTTGGCACCCATGGACACTGCATTGCTGACCATTACATAAAAAAAGAGAGACTATAACTTTTGTTTTTCAGATCTGGAAACCTGAGGAAATGTTTCCTATACTAACTGGGAAATGCCAAAATTTATGCAATACATTTGTAACAGTATCTTAGATTAAAGCTGTTTTGTTGATACTCAAAAAACCTGAATGCTCACGTATTTTTTGGCAATATTGAAATTCTCTGCTAAAGAAAAAAATATGTAAAGATAAAAACCATCTATTTTGCCCAGCATCCTCATTTTCACAGTTTGGAAACTTACAAGGAAGACGTGCGTCCAATAGTATCTTCTCACATACGTTGCTCACAGATTGGCATGGAGAAATATATGTCTTCATTTTTGCTATCTGATTGCCCATTAGAACAATCAGTGTTCATGACCATCACTACATCTCCTCAATGTGAATTTACAGGTTAACACTGCTCTGCCTGAAAAAGCGCTTCCTTTTATTAATCTTCACTCCCTTGAAATTCTGCTTATTGGATATTCCTCTAATATATCCACCTTATTTGCTTTTTTTTTTTCCTGAGCTAAAAATATTTAAATGTTCCTCACAGGGACTTGCTCCAGCCTCTTCATCAGCACATTTGAGCAGCCAAGAGAAGATGCATGGATCAGATGTGAGCAAAGAGGAACATAATCATTTAAATGCAATTATGCTGGGTTCTGCAATTAATGCCATTGTTTTAAAATTTTGGTTTCCTGTAGAAACAGCCATATAACAGTTGCCAGATTGCAGCTGCTTTTGCTTTTGTACTCTTGGTTTGGCATTGTAATTTGTGATGGGTCACAATCATTAGAAAGTTAGTTATGTCTTAAAACCCATTGCAATCAATGGGAGAAGATAATCACAACCATGCAATCCCATTGATTTAAATGGAATTGGAGAGTGACTAACTCTTTGGATTGGAGCCATCATTTTAGTACACAATCAACACTTTAAGGGAACAGATTATAGTGGGTCATTCACATATCCTTTCACAGTCTTAGTTTGCCTGGATAGCCAATGAGGAAAATAATTCATTCACTACTGGCCACTGTAGCCTATGTAACTCTTCATTTTTATTTTTTGAATATGTCAAAAACTTTTTTTTTTTTTTGCATTCATGAAAAACACATCCATAATTTCCAAATGATTTTTTTTTTGTCATTTGTGTCTCTCAAATGCATGTTTATGCTTATCTGGGATATATTCATAATTATGTGTTTTAATAATCTACCCCCAACTCAGCTCAGTTCTGGGAAAAAAAAAGGCATATGGAGATAATTGCATAAAATACATTTGTTTTGTGACAAAAGAATTGTACTGATGAAAATGACAACTGAAGGATGAAAAACGTTAAAAAATAGCAGTGATGCAACCTTCTCTACTGGTTTTAGGATTCCTACTATGCTCCTTAATAAATGTGCCCAAGTATGCAGCCTATGAGGACAAAGGAATGGAAGTGAAAGTATTGTGGGGTCAGAAGGGGTAGTGGTATAATAGTTACATCAGGGCTGCACAATCTTTTTGGTGCTGCAGGGGCTAGGGGTCCATGTACTGATATACGTCAACAAAAATAGGTGAGAGCTACACATTTCAGACCAGTTTCTCCGCTGGGGAGCAGATTTTGGCATGAAATATTTACTTTAACCCTCTATCTTAACATGCCCATTTTCAGGGTATCATTGTAAATTGGCCAAAATTGACATTCATGCTACTGCTGGCCCTTTGGAAGCCCTTAAGACCTGGCTGTTTCCCAGGCATGGGGTCAGGGGAATAGTTGAGCTCCTATTAGTTGGTTGCCTGGTTTCCTTGATGGCCATTTCACGTTCATGTTTGATCCTTATTTTTAATGTTTGTTAGACACCCAGAGTCATGTTTAGCAAGGTGACAGCCACATAAATCAATTGAAAAAAACAAATAAGGGAGTATGATCTGGGGGTATGCTGGGAGCCACAAAATGGAGAGTAGGTGCCCTATTTGGCCACCTATCCCTCATTTCAAATATGAGATTAAGATTGAGAAGACCTTAATTCAAATCTCCACTTAGCCCTGAAGCTTACTTGGTGACATAGGCCAGCCCACAGGCTCAATCTGAGCTTCATGGTAGGATTGTCAGGAGGATAAAAAGAGGGAGGAAGAACTCATATATGAGGTATTGAATGGCTTGGAAGAAACATTAAAAAATAATAAAGTGATGTCATATGTAAGAAACAAAAGAGTCTGGATATTAAAGAGGTATACATTTGTTAGCAAGTTGCTTCTATCTGTCTAACTCTCAAAATTACTGTATTTATTGGCGTATAACACATACTTTTTTCCCCTAAAATTTGGGGCTGAAATCCTAGCTGCATGTTATACGCCGATATGCCCTGTGGCTTCTTACCGCACAGCGCCGTGGCCGGGAGAGCATTTCTTTTTTGGCAGCCACCGCAACCCAGTGCTGCTGCTCCAGATGGGTGCAAAGGGAGGCATGGAGCCTGTGCCACACCGTGCCACCCCGGTAAAGGGATCGCCACTCCTCTGAAAGCTGCACTGTGCCATTGGGAGCACAGGACAGTCCGGAAACGCAAGTTCTACAGCACTCAGTGTCAGAGAAAAGTGCAAAGAGCAGATCTGCAGCGGCTCCTCAGTTTGCTAAAATGGCGGGGGGGGGAGGGAACTGTGCAGCACCCATTCCCTGGGCCTCCGACTTTGCAAACCAGCCGCTGTCCCGAGCGCACTGCACCTGGAGGAGGAAGAGTTAAGCGCCTGTGTGTGTGTGTGTGTGTATGTGCATGTGCGCACGTGTGTTTGTGCGGGTTTTTATTCCTCCCCTGCCACTCAGCGATTTTGAGAGACTTGCTCAGGCTTGGAACAAGAAAGCCAGGAACTCCTGGGCAGAGTGGGGCGCCTCCCTCTGCACCAAACCTCTGACTTTGGCCGGACTGAGGGTCCATGCACCGTGCCATGCCGCCCCAGCAAGGCTGCTGGAGAACTTGGGTCCCTGGACTCTTGGAAGTTGGCTCACTGGACTCTCGGAGCTGCAGCCTTTGGAAGCCGATCCCCTCGCCGGGGGGGGGGGCAAATAAAGACTGCACAAACATGTGTGCATGCATGTGCACAAACAACGCTCACCTCTCCGGACTGTGCAGCACGCGTGGGACAGTGGCTGGGTTGCTAAGGCAGAGAATGGGTGGGGTCCACCCCCCCCCCCCCCCCCATTTTAGCAAACTGAGATGCTGCTGCGGATCTGCTCTTTGCACTTTGGTCTGACACTGAGTGGAGATTTCACGTCTCTGGACTCATCCGTGCTCCCAGCTGCACGGTGGAGCCCTTGGGGGAGGGGGCTACCCCTCCATGCCAAAGTTTCTCCCGACTGGAAGGAGGGAGGAGAAGGGAAGGCCGCGGGGAGCCATAGGAGAGGCTGCGTCTCCCATGCTCACCAATCCAGGGGCGATCCAAGAGGGGTTGGGCGCAGCTCTCAGCAGGTGGCCAGGGGGGTGTTGTGCAGTGCACCGCATGCTCTGCGCCTCCCTCTGCAGCCATCTGGAGCAGCAGTGCTGGGTTGCAGCGGCTGCCAAAAAAGAAATGCTTTCCTCTGACACACTGAGTGCTGGACTGCATGGATGATATCACTAAAGACTGCAAACAGAGGAGACATTCCCTAATAATAATTTACTGTACCCCCCAATGCACTCGGACCACCAGGGATTTTTAACCCCTGCTGGTCCACCAGAGATCTTACCTGCTTGTCTGCTGCAGACAGGTAAGCAGGAGGGGACGGAATATGTACCAGTATGGTAATAAACAGATTAGCATTACCACACACTACACACAGCTAACAAACACTAATGGTACATACTGTCAGGCCTAGCCCAAGGAACTCCAAGAGACAATGCAAAATCAGTTCAGCTATGTTTATTAGCTACAACCTCT